ATAGGGGAGCTCTGGTTACCTAGGGGCAAGAAACTGAACTGCAATCCTGAAGGCACACGGTTCAAGGCCACCAGCTGCTCCATGGTAGGATGGGCGATCTCCTCCCATGCAATTGATGGCCTCTGAAAACCCACTGGCGGGTCAGCTGTGGGTCAGTTCCGACGCTACAGTCCACAACAACCACCACAAATCTCTAAACAAGCAGTCATCTGATAGAATTACCATTCATTGAAAAGAAAAGTTACAGGCTTTCTTCCCATAATATTAAAGCAAACGTTTTTATTAAGCATTTATTACATATTAGGAACCTCTCTGATCAAATCAGATCTGACTGGTACAGGAGGAGATTGCCCCTCGTTCTCCAACAGAGTATCTGGTGGATTTGAACCATGCGCCTCTGGGATTGCAGTGCAGCTTCTTGCCACTAGGCCACCAGAGCTCCCTGATGCATTTGACTCTTGTACAGTCTTCTTTCTGAGTTATGTACTGCTGTTGTTGTTGTTAGCCTAACGTTGTCAATTTTTTAGCCATTACCTTAGCCCCCTCTGGCCTCCAACTACCTTAATTGTGAACACAAGATCTCACAAATCTGCTTGGTCTCACACTCAGCAACAGCTGGAGGCTCAATATAGAGAGAGTGCTCTCCACGCTGGGGGTTGTGTCAAAACACCAACTCAGGAGCAGCAGTGCTTCTGTGTTTAAGGATCTCACTGCATCCAGCCTGGCCCGTTGCTCACCAGTTTCTAAAAAAAACCCACCAAAACCCGGCCTGCATACCTACAGTTTTGTGAATCGTTCCCCTGATGGGTCTGAGGGAGGACCTTCCAGCAAATCATGGAACCCGCAGGCCATAGGGGAATGGCCGGACTGAGCCACAGACAGATTGTAGAAAGTATGGGCTTAGACAGCTGGTTAAGCATTTGATATTATGTTGCTCTGAGGCTTCTGGTTAATACTGTGCTATTAATCTCAGCACATAGTATAATAAAGACAGAACACACCCATGTGCTGAGACTGGTGGGTCCTTCCAGGAAGTCGTGGGTCTGGACATAATGCTGGGGACCACTAAGTGCTGGTTTCGGCAATGGTATATTCAGGGAGAAAAAATGAAACAACAAACTTGCCATGTCCCTTGCCAATCTCACTCTGCCTGCCAACTCCATGACTTGTGTGTTAATTTGTTGTGCTGTGGTGTCTTACATGTTGCTGCAATGCTGGAAGCCATGCTATCAGTATTTCACATATCAGTAGGGCTGCGTCGGGCAGATAGGCTTGAGAGAGCTCCAGAGTAACTCAGACTAGAAGAAAAAAGGCTGGCAATCTAATTGCATAAAACAATTAACAAATTAAGGATCACAGCAGCTAGGAAATTAAAAGACTAATTGCATTGGGAAAGTTTGTTGTCAGAGACCTCTTCAAACTACCTAAGAGCAACGATGTCAGTCTGGAGACTAAGGTGCACCTGATATAGGCCATGGCTGTGCAATCACTTGCTATACATCAGAGAGCTGGACAGTGACTAGGGACGATAGAAAGAGAATTGATGCCTTTGAGCTGTGGTGCTGGAGAAGAATATTGAATATACCATGGACTGCTAGGAGAATAGTTTCATCCTGAAGAGGGTGAAACCAGGCTGCTCCTTGGAGTCAAGGATTCTGAAGCTTCATCTAACATAATTTGGACATAGTACAAGGTGGGACCAGTCCTTGGAGAGGGACGTCATGCTTGGGAGGGTGGAGGGACAGCACAGGAGAGGAAGATCCTCAATGAGGTGAATTGATTCAGTGACTGGGGTAGTTGGGGTAGGTGTGTGGGAGACAGTGAGATTGGAACAGGATAGAGCAGGGTTTAGGGCTGTTGTACATACGGTCGCTATGAGTCACAGGCGACTCGACAACACATAACAACAACAAAGTAACACAACAGAATATTGCCGGATCTAGGGCCTGAAGTTGAGCCCTCCCAAGTGACTCGGTGTTAAGAAATTGTGCAGCCAACTCAAAGGCATATGGTTTGAATCCACCAGCTTCTCTGTGGGATAAAGATGGACTATCTCCTCCCTTATAATTTATAGCCTCTTAAAACCTGCTGAAGGTTCAACTTCAGGTTCCAACTTAATGGTACATAAGAACAGCAAAAGTTGGAAGGCTTTAAACATGCACAGTACATATACATAAACATAAACGCATAAGGCTGTAAACATGCACATATTGCAATAATGGGCTCTTGCCACAGGACTGGCTCGATTATACATGGAGGTCCTATGAGTTGTAGCCAATTTGGTGACAGCTAACAACTAACATGTTGTTATCCACTTACTCTCCAGGCCCTGAAAGGGCAGAAATGTCACCTTCAGTAGACCTTTAAATTAAACAGAAATACATGTACCCCAATGTACATAGCAGCATTATTCACCATTGCGAGAATATAGAAATAGCCCAAATGTCCAATCATGATTGAATGAATTAAGAAATTATGTTACATTCACCCGATGGAATACTACGCAGCACTCAGTAGCGATGATTTTGTAAATTATTGCCTACCTTGAAAGGGACTGGAGAACATTATGCTAAGTAAACTAACCCAGTCCCAAAAAACAAATATTGTATAAGACCATTATTGTAGAAAGTGTATGAGGAACCAAGGGGTGGGAAGGGTGGAAGCAGAGGGGTGAGGAAGGGCAGCAGGGGTGTGTGTGTGTGTGTGTGTGTGTGTGTGTGTAATCATAGGGTGGCATAATTTGAAGGGGATGTGGTGAAGGAGATAGGAAAGATCTGGTGTGAAAAAAAATGTATTTAAACTTTGTAAATAAACTAGATAAAAACATTTAAAAAACCCAGTGCAACTGAAAAAAAAACCAAACAAACCCAAAAGCCTAAACAGAAATATATCTGTAACCTTCAAGCACTCCCGGATTCTAAGACAGTAAACCACGCTGGGGTGTGATGCAAGGCAGTCGGCTTAAATCACTCACTAGGAGTTGCTAGTCTGTGCTGGGCTTATGGTGGGTCTGGTGGCAGCCAAACTACTTATGATGGACGTGGACTTATTATGGCCATGAGCGTTTTAGGATTGTTTACGCATGCTTTACATTTTAAATGCTGAAGCTGTAAATGCTAAAATCATTAATGTGACCACAGAAGGCCACGCTAGGAGGAGGTATAGCTTAGCTTGAAGGCAAATTAGTGTTTGACAGCTCCACCGACGGCTGTGTCTTGGAATGAAACGTGTAAGTGAGGAAACAAAGAGGGGGCTCTCTGCTCATGAGCAGACGTCTGTCATCTGCAGCGAGGGGAAAGTCCTCTTACCGAGAGCTGTAAAGGCTTCCTTATCCAAAGCACAGTTGCTGAGTAGTAAAGACTTCAAAGCTGGTAAAACCCGGAGCCTGCCCAGTAGGTGCTCTGAAGACCCACCTATCTTTCTGTTGGCTGATAGATCCAGTTCTTGAAGATTCGAGAGTAAGGGAATAACATGGGCTGTAAAAGAACACACGATGGCCTGTTGGAGACACCATCTCACCACGTTCCGCCACCACTGGGTCCTTGGTCTCTTCAATCTGACCCCTACTCACCTCTTAGCCTCTCATAAGCCACAGAGATCAGCCACTTTCCCAGGAAGCATCTGTCCTTCTCTACTGCCAAGCATCTTTCTAAACCAGAAGTTAAAGGCAAAGACTTTGGAGACAGATAAACCTGGGTTCTAATCCTGGCTCTACTGTTAAAAACTGTGTGATTTTGGACTAATAACTTTTCTGAATGTTGAGTTTTCCCATGCATATTAACTTCTGGGGTCATTTGGAAGACAAAATTACTTGGTATATGTATTTAGTAGACCATATTAATGGAATATATTTATTCTTCAATT